TTCTTCTACTCTCCAAACTCGACAGCCAATCTACTTGGACTGACGAGCTTTTTTTCCCCTACCCTTTTTTGGTTAACGAAAGCTCGACCAAGCACTTTTTTTCCTCTATACCAACAAGTTTTTAATATTTCTGCCCTCTCCTAATATTTTATTCACGAGTCTTCAAACTATGTATTAATCTAGCGTGTGTAGTATATCAATGTGCTTACAATGGAGAGATTTTGTTGTAGATGGTTTATAGAAAAAGAGCGTTTAGTAAAGACAAATAGACATACCTACGCGTTATGGCATCTGTTCCGATTTTGTTTGCACTATTAGGTATTACTTATAATACGATAAAAATAATTATTGTTAAATAATAAATTAATCGATGACTCAATGCTTCAAACTTTTACGAAATATAGGACAGATACGTAGGAGATAAAAAATCTTTTAGAAAAATAAGAAGTTTCTAATTTGTATTATGACTTCGAAGTTGTTTAGAATTATAAGTAGCCATTAAATGATTTTTAATGTTGGTAATGGTGACTTTCTTACTATTTTTTTACAAGTACACGTGCAAATTTCGTGAAACGGTGTCCCTTCTTTTTGACAAGTCAGAAATCTGGATTGATTTTATATTGGAATTATTGATGGTGAAATCGAAGTTTTTCGCTTAAGAGGCTAGTCCTAAAGGTCTGGTGTGTTTGCCTTGTCTAAATATACATCAAAAGCAAAGCTATTTTTTATCCCTTGAGTAAATTGAATGTTAAAATATTTTTAAAAACTTTCAAGGGAAGAAGCTGCATAGAGTTCCCTTAAAAAAAGACATGTACAGGTCAGCACGTAGAAAAAAGATAGAAACACTTTACTTCAATAAGATTCTTACACAAATATTTGAAAAATACAAAGTTATTTTTTTATAGGAAAAACTGCGGTAAATCTAATGGTACTTTTAATTTTTGTTCGTTATCGTGGAAGAGCTTAAAACATTCGATGGTAAAGTTTCCTCAACGTAATTTACAGAGAACTGTCCTTCGAGACGTTATATATTAGCTGTTGTCTATCTGTAACAGTTTGGTCTGTTACCAAAAGTTTAAATATTTTCAAAATAAATCTTTTAAATTTTATTTACAAAAACGTAGGTTATTGTGGAAAAGTTAATAATTTTGCGTTTTAAGTAAGCAGCTACAATAGTCTTTGTATCAAGTGAATGTAAAAAATACACGCTGTCATCTCGTACTTGATGATGTCACCCGTATTGACCAACGGTTCTAGTATTCTAGAATATGCGTATGGAACAGAATTTGACATTGTTACAATGAAACGTAGAGACGAAATTTTATCAGCACTTTCAAGATCATTTGGGTAGATTTTTTTTTTTTATCCAAACAAGGTTCTTCTTGCAAAGTAACATCTTTAAATAATCGTATATAGTTACTTTTTCATCTTATTTGCAAAAGTTTGCTTCGATTGGTCCTAGTTTTTATAAAAAACTAAGGATTTCGCCACAAAGAGGAAAGCTAAGACAATCGAAGCAACTTCTTACCTAACTCTACTGAACTATGGTGTAACATTTTTTCCTTTCTTTTTTTACACGTACCATACAAACACCCTGACATCGATCTCTTTCGCCAAAAAGATAAAGCTTCTTCTAGTCTCTCGCAATGTTATCTCTGGAGAATCGAGTTAATGTACGTCCAGTAAAACAGTATCTTCATCAAAAGATGCCAATTTTTTTTTTTCAAAGCTGTTTCAAGAAATTTTGTAAATAAATTTGGCAGCATAGAGCATCCGTAACCACTGCGCTGAGGAGGCTTTTGGTCAACGTGACGAGTTTAACGAAATTTTCCTTTATTTCGATACTCACGCGTACGTGAAAAGATCCCATGGTATCTCTTTACACACAAATCTTCAAACAGTAATTATTAAACGTACTAAATAAAGTAACGTCACATAAGCCTTTAGTTTAAAAAATAAGGTTTTATTAAACATCATAAACAAAGAGACAATTTAATTAGACATTTTTCCGCAACAAAGAATGTAGCTAAGCGACCACTAACGCATATCATTAAAAAAGTTAGCGACAGAAATTTTTAGTAGGCAAGATAACAGGTATCAATTATAAACGATAGTGATGTCATGCACACGACACGTACAATAGTAATACTAGAAACCACTTCGTTAATTATCAGTGTCTCGTGGGACTTAACTCATCTCGCACCTACGCAGTTACATAATAGTGTATGTAAGAAAATGTCTGGAGATGAGAATGAGAAGGAAATTAAAACTCATGGAGCAAAATCATAGATCATTTGTAAGACAAATTATGTAAGTCAATCAGAATTTTTCTTTGAATTTCACTTATAANTAATAACCTTCGTCTAAAACAAACATGTCTGAACGTTTATCATATTATGTGAAATGAACGCGTAAGTAACAGAAAACATTTTACATTTTTCGGTTTTTTTTATATCGGAACGTATTTATTGTCGCTACCACTAATATAATATACGTCTCCATATAAGAAATAATTAAAATTACTTTCCAAAATGTCACTGAAAACAATTTCTATTGTCTAGTGCTCTTTTCTCTAAGTTGTTCCTATTATGTCCTCATCCCCATCTTTACTTGTGTTAGCACTTATAAATCGTCCATTTTCAATGTAAAACAGATGGTAAACTCAGTATAAAGATAAGCTGAGCTTGTTCAATGACGTACGTATGTGTTTATGCGATATAATTTTTATTTTAATACAATTATCAATGTAATGCAAAAATCGATGTATCGTTGCGTTCTCTTTTCTGTCTCTCTAGATACTTTTACCGAATAGTTAATACTTTCAATATTCTAGAACTGTACAATAATAGTTTGAAGCTTAACTAGAGTATATCAGTTATAAGGCATTAAAATTATTGTATGAGTTAAAAAAATACACGCAGAAACCAATAAATAAAATAAACTATAACACTGCCAGATAATGTTCTTAATTTCATAGAACACGATTTTAGCATTGGCTTTAGATTAAAACAAAAAAAAGATATGATATTATTTCTTTCTTAGAATAAATTTTAATAATTTTTCTTTGTATGACGAAAATGTTCTATAAAATGAACCGTTACATGCGTCAGAGATTTTTAATATCAGTACCACCGCATAAAATAAATGATATAGAGAGCGATTCCTGACATCGTGACTATCACCCCCACAACCACACCAAATTGTTCGAACATTGGAAGAACCCGTTGCTCCTACCAGTTACAATGTTTGGTGAGGCCATGCATCTACTCACAGCAAATATAAGCTACTTTTCCTTCTACTCTTAAAACTTAATGGCCAATTCACTTTGAATCAAGAGCTATTTTCTCCTACCCTATGTATCTTGACCAAGTGCTTTTTTTTCCTACACCACCAAGTTTTCGATATTTTTGGCCTCTTTAAATATTTGATCTATGAGTATTGAAACTATCTAGTGTTCTTTTGCGTAATGTGAGTCAACACGTTTTCAAGAAAAAGATATTTTTGCAGGTGATTTATAGAAAATAAGTATTTAGTGAAAATATGTAGACATACCTACGCGTTATGGCATCGGATTCAATTCTTCTTACACTGTTGGGTATCACATTGAATTAAAGTCAGTAGCTAGAAAAGTCTTAAGATTAAACGCAAAATAAAAACACGAAGTTTTCTGCAAATTGATAATTTTAACTGTTATGACTAGCATATCCAGAATACAGATATAAGTGAAGCNAGAATTTTTTGTTGTGAGACAAATAGTTAAATTTAAGAGGAGTTTTTCTTCAAATTTTTCTTATAAGTCGTTTTTGGGCTAGAAAAATATGAAAAAATCATGGCAGTATCTAATAAATTCACCCGAAGTTAATTTCACTTTTAACAGATACTGTCCAAAATGTATTCTAAGGTGATTCATCTTTCTTTGCATTCTTCCTTTCGTATACAAGTGATTTTCATAACTATATAGAGAATAAGCACCTGCAGAGTGGTATAAAAAAGTGAAGCTGTTAAGAAAAATGCATCATAAGAGAGAGTACTTTTCATTAAGAAGCTTCATAAGTATGAAGTACAGAGTAATTGGCAGGCATTTTCAAATGTTTTTACATCGGAGAGAATATATATTATTTCCCATGCATCAACGACTAAATGCATGCAACCTTCTGTTCCAAAAACAGTAGAGCACGTCAAAGTATTCAAGTATGATACTTTGTTCTATATTGTTAATGTACGTAGAAGTTGTTAAGTCTGTAACTGTAACAATTGATTTGTTCATAACTATTACTGGAAACGCGTCACTAGAATTTTTTTAAATTATTTCAAAATACACTTAATCAAGTAAAATTCGTTGCCACACAGTAAAATGCACGGCGTCAAAGTTATAACAATTGTTTGTGTTGCACATTTACAAAAAAAAATTGAGATTTAAATTAAAAAATAATCATGATAATGCCCCAAAAATATTTTTTTTATCTAGTCTAAGTATAATACAAAGCAATTTTAACAAGTTTTATCGTCATTAACACAAAATTAATAATCTCATTCTTCATTCACCTATCTATCTATAGTTGTCAGTTAAAACAATGTTTTTATCTTTTAGGTCAGAGGCGAATTGATATTAGTTCAAGGTACCAAAAAAAATCAACGAGACGAAACCACCTTGACGTATGACATTCCAGATCAGTGTGATTTGGCAAGAATCGAGGCAGGATTTTACTCCGACGACGTTTTGTATATTCGTTTTCCTTTAAAGAATGAGCCAGATGTTAAAGTAAAGACAATTAAAAATTTTAAAAGTTTTAAATAATTTGACACCTTAATGAGAAAAAATAAAAAGAATAAAAGCATAAAGAGATTGCATTTTATTTAAAAATCTTATTTTATCAACAAGTATGAGAAAAATATGTTAGAGCCTTTGTAGTGCTGACCTTATTCATGAGAATAAAAAATAAACAAATGACAGTTGGAAGCCTTTGTAAGCTGTGTATAAGTTTATATAAGTTGATGGCAGATTTGTTAAATAGTATAGAGAAAACATGGATCTTATTATTATTTCTTGCTATAAGAGCTGATGTAAGTTCTTTTTCGTGATACACACAAGGTTACCACAAACAAAAATTCTGACTAAATTGTCATAAATAAAAGTCTGACTTATACTTCAAAATTTTATTTTATGATGACATCATAGTCTAACACATTTCTAGAACAAAGTATTTTTTATTAAAATTGACACTAAGTATCACAACTATTTCATTTACACTTAAAATCAAAATATATTAAATCATCGCACACCTATCAGACAACCTCAGGGTTCTCAGGTTTTTCTATTTATTAAGTAAAATTGTCTTTTTTTTAGCTACGTTTTTACCAGATTAATCACCTTATAAAATGTGATAATTATTATAAAATTATTATCACACTCCTTTTGTTGCTATAAATGATAAATGTGTCAGATTAATGTCTTATAAGTATTTAGTGAAAATATGTAGACATACCTACGCGTTATGGCATCGGATTCAATTCTTCTTACACTGTTAGGTATCACATTGAATTGAAGTCAGTAGCTAGAAAAGTCTTGAGATTAAACGCAAAATGAAAACACGAAGTTTTCTGCAAATTGATAATTTTAACTGTTATGACTAGCATATCCAGAATACAGATATAAGTGAAGCACCAAGAGCCGACCTGAAGAGTCGCAAAAATTGAAACGATTCCTTACCAATCTCCACTGTATTATAGCGTAATACTTTTTTCTCCCCCCTTTTTTTTTACAACATAGACACCCTGACACCGATTACTTTCACCAAGGAGATAAAGCTTCATATTGTCTTTCGCAATGTTATTCTCGGAAAATTTAGATGATGTACGTCCATCGAAAATGTATCCTTACAAAAGACGACATTTTTCATTGTTGGAGCAGTTTCAAGAAATATTGTAAATGAATTTGATAGCAAGAAGTATCCGTAACCATTACGCTCAGGTAGCTTTTGGCCAAGTTGACGAGTTTAACGAGATTTCCCTTAAATTCGATACTCACGAGAACGTTGGTTAACCTATGGTAACTCTTTGTATACATATCTTCCAACAGCAACCATTAAAGGTATGACGTAAAGTAACGTCATCTTAGCCTTTTTTACAAAAAATAGTTTCATTACACAGATTTAAAAATAGCCTATTAACCATTTTTCTACAACAAAGCACCTATCTTAGCGCACAGTGGCAGGTATCATTAAAAGAGTTAGCCACAGAAATTTTTAGAAGGCTAGATAACAGGAATCAATCATAAACGATAGTAATGTCATAAATGTGACACGTACAACAGTAGCACTAGAAACCATTTTGTTGTTCGTCAGTTGCTTGTTAGCCTCTTTTCGAATAGCACCTACGCAGTAACATAATAGTAATTAAAGCAAAATGTCCGAACGTCTAGAAGAACAACTGATGGCGATGGAAGTTAAAATACGAGAAGAAACAAGAAAGTCTGTCATCTTTTTTCGTGGCCGTGAAACTCATCTATCTACCTGTTTCAACAAGGCCACTGAAGAGACTAGGCAATTAAACCTAAAACCCAGCAAAGATTATCACCTTTTACCTGATAGCAAAAGGGTTTGGGCATTTGGCAATTGCATTTTAATACTTAAATTTCTTTACGATTTTTTTCTCAAAACTAAAAAAAATTGTGGTTTTATACAAGCAGGTCCACCAGACGGAGTTGGATTGCGCTGAATTTGACAAAGACACAATTAAGGTCATTGTAAGTATCGAACCATATTTCTTTGTTCTTCTCTTCATTTATTTTTCAAACGTTTTATGTTTTGCATACGTTATCCTAAAATAAAATAGAAAAAGTCTTTGAGGATTTTTTTATATTTCATGAGTAGGAAAAATGTTAAACTGTCAAGACTCTCATAATAAAGTGTAATTAATGTGTATAAAGTGAATTTCATCAAAAAACTACCGGCAAATTAATAAAACCTCAAAAATGTTTAATAAGAAATTCATGCGACTACGACAAAAGTTGTTGGAAGCACTTCACGTTATGTTCAGAATAGATAGAAAAATGGTTTTCGGACATTACCATACCAGAATTTTTTGTTGTGAGACAAATAGTTAAATTTAAGAGGAGTTTTTCTTCAAATTTTTCTTATAAGTCGTTTTTGGGCTAGAAAAATATGAAAAAATCATGGCAGTATCTAATAAATTCACCCGAAGTTAATTTCACTTTTAACAGATACTGTCCAAAATGTATTCTAAGGTGATTCATCTTTCTTTGCATTCTTCCTTTCGTATACAAGTGATTTTCATAACTATATAGAGAATAAGCACCTGCAGAGTGGTATAAAAAAGTGAAGCTGTTAAGAAAAATGCATCATAAGAGAGAGTACTTTTCATTAAGAAGCTTCATAAGTATGAAGTACAGAGTAATTGGCAGGCATTTTCAAATGTTTTTACATCGGAGAGAATATATATTATTTCCCATGCATCAACGACTAAATGCATGCAACCTTCTGTTCCAAAAACAGTAGAGCACGTCAAAGTATTCAAGTATGATACTTTGTTCTATATTGTTAATGTACGTAGAAGTTGTTAAGTCTGTAACTGTAACAATTGATTTGTTCATAACTATTACTGGAAACGCGTCACTAGAATTTTTTTAAATTATTTCAAAATACACTTAATCAAGTAAAATTCGTTGCCACACAGTAAAATGCACGGCGTCAAAGTTATAACAATTGTTTGTGTTGCACATTTACAAAAAAAAATTGAGATTTAAATTAAAAAATAATCATGATAATGCCCCAAAAATATTTTTTTTATCTAGTCTAAGTATAATACAAAGCAATTTTAACAAGTTTTATCGTCATTAACACAAAATTAATAATCTCATTCTTCATTCACCTATCTATCTATAGTTGTCAGTTAAAACAATGTTTTTATCTTTTAGGTCAGAGGCGAATTGATATTAGTTCAAGGTACCAAAAAAAATCAACGAGACGAAACCACCTTGACGTATGACATTCCAGATCAGTGTGATTTGGCAAGAATCGAGGCAGGATTTTACTCCGACGACGTTTTGTATATTCGTTTTCCTTTAAAGAATGAGCCAGATGTTAAAGTATAGACAATTAAAAATGTCAAAAGTTTTAAATAATTTAACACCTTAATGAAAAAAATAAAAAGAATAAAAGCATAAAGAGATTGCATTTTATTTAAAAATCTTATTTTATCAACAAGTATGAGAAAAATATGTTAGAGCCTTTGTAGTGCTGACCTTATTCATGAGAATAAAAAATAAACAAATGACAGTTGGAAGCCTTTGTAAGCTGTGTATAAGTTTATATAAGTTGATGGCAGATTTGTTAAATAGTATAGAGAAAACATGGATCTTATTACTATTTCTTGCTATAAGAGCTGATGTAAGTTCTGGAATTTCGTGATACACACAAGGTTACCACAAACAAAAATTCTGACTAAATTGTCATAAATAAAAGTCTGACTTATACTTCAAAATTTTATTTTATGATGACATCATAGTCTAACACATTTCTAGAACAAAGTATTTTTTATTAAAATTGACACTAAGTATCACAACTATTTCATTTACACTTAAAATCAAAATATATTAAATCATCGCACACCTATCAGACAACCTTAGGGTTCTCAGGTTTTTCTATTTATTAAGTAAAATTGTCTTTTTTTTAGCTACGTTTTTACCAGATTAATCACCTTATAAAATGTGATAATTATTATAAAATTATTATCACACTCCTTTTGTTGCTATAAATGATAAATGTGTCAGATTAATGTCTTATTTACGCAGTTTGTACTTTTAACCATTGGAGCAAATGCTGTTCTTATGGGGTATAACGCCACGGAGGGTGGCATGATTGCTGATTTCTGTATTGAGAGTGAACTAGAAATTTTTTTCCATTGTTATAAAAAGTATTGGTTTTTTTAGTTTTTCTAATTTTTATTATTTTCTTGCACGGTTTTCTTACATAATACAATATTAAGCGCTTATGATACTTTTCGAATACAAATATTGTTAAGCTCAAGACAAATCCACTAACTAATGATTCTAGCAACCGGGTGACGTCAGTAATACACAATGGAATATCATTTATAGATTCTTTTTTAACAAGATGTAGTTTTTTTTCGCGAGATAGTAAAATAGTAATTAAAGCAAAATGTCCGAACGTCTAGATGAACAAATGTTGACGATGGAAGATAAAATACTAGAAGAAACTAGAAAGTCTGTCATCTTTTTTCGCGGCCGTGAAACTCATCGACCTACCTGTTTTAACAAGGCCACTGAAGAGACTAGGCAATTAAACCTAAAACCCAGCAAAGATTATCACCTTTTACCTGATAGCAAAAGGGTTTGGGCATTTGGCAATTGCATTTTAATACTTAAATTTCTTTACGATTTTTTTCTCAAAACTAAAAAAAATTGTGGTTTTATACAAGCAGGTCCACCAGACGGAGTTGGATTGCGCTGAATTTGACAAAGACACAATTAAGGTCATTGTAAGTATCGAACCATATTTCTTTGTTCTTCTCTTCATTTATTTTTCAAACGTTTTATGTTTTGCATACGTTATCCTAAAATAAAATAGAAAAAGTCTTTGAGGATTTTTTTATATTTCATGAGTAGGAAAAATGTTAAACTGTCAAGACTCTCATAATAAAGTGTAATTAATGTGTATAAAGTGAATTTCATCAAAAAACTACCGGCAAATTAATAAAACCTCAAAAATGTTTAATAAGAAATTCATGCGACTACGACAAAAGTTGTTGGAAGCACTTCACGTTATGTTCAGAATAGATAGAAAAATGGTTTTCGGACATTACCATACCAGAATTTTTTGTTGTGAGACAAATAGTTAAATTTAAGAGGAGTTTTTCTTCAAATTTTTCTTATAAGTCGTTTTTGGGCTAGAAAAATATGAAAAAATCATGGCAGTATCTAATAAATTCACCCGAAGTTAATTTCACTTTTAACAGATACTGTCCAAAATGTATTCTAAGGTGATTCATCTTTCTTTGCATTCTTCCTTTCGTATACAAGTGATTTTCATAACTATATAGAGAATAAGCACCTGCAGAGTGGTATAAAAAAGTGAAGCTGTTAAGAAAAATGCATCATAAGAGAGAGTACTTTTCATTAAGAAGCTTCATAAGTATGAAGTACAGAGTAATTGGCAGGCATTTTCAAATGTTTTTACATCGGAGAGAATATATATTATTTCCCATGCATCAACGACTAAATGCATGCAACCTTCTGTTCCAAAAACAGTAGAGCACGTCAAAGTATTCAAGTATCATACTTTGTTCTATATTGTTAATGTACGTAGAAGTTGTTAAGTCTGTAACTGTAACAATTGATTTGTTCATAACTATTACTGGAAACGCGTCACTAGAATTTTTTTAAATTATTTCAAAATACACTTAATCAAGTAAAATTCGTTGCCACACAGTAAAATGCACGGCGTCAAAGTTATAACAATTGTTTGTGTTGCACATTTACAAAAAAAAATTGAGATTTAAATTAAAAAATAATCATGATAATGCCCCAAAAATATTTNATATAAAAATTTGTTCTTAAAAACTTATCTCAAAAAGTGCCTAGTCATATATTTTGTTAAAAGTGTGAGAAGTACTTATAAATAAATCTCAAATGTTTATTTAATTACATACAAATATTTTTTTACATTATGGACAGGGTCCATAATTGGAGGGTCTACATTATGGGCAGGGTCCGTAATAGGGGGGTCCACGATAGGTTCAAAGTCCATCGAGGGGTCCGTAATACGGACAAAATTTTTTTTTCTTGTTTCATCATTAACATAAAAATAACAAAACTTTTTGATGAAAAAAAAATTTGATGTTATTAAAAAAAAATCAAACGACTTATACGTTATTATACAAGGTGTAGTTCTATTGACTGTTAGACACAAAATAAAGTTGAGCTCGAAATTTTTCTTAAAGGGTCCATAATTGAGACAGATACCCCTAGTTTGAACACTCGTACATAAAATATTAGAAGAAGCCAAAAATATCGAAAACTTGTTGGTGTAGGGAAAAAAGGCACTTGGTCGAGCTTGCGTTAACCCAAATAGGGAAGGAGAAAAAAAGCTCGTGAGTCAAAGTAGATTGGCCGTCAAATTTGGAGAGTAGGAGCTAAGGTAGACGGTATTGGCTGCGAGTAGATACGTGGCCTTACAAAACATTATAACTGGTAGGAGCAGTGGGTTCTTTCCATCGTTGGTAAGTTTGGTGTTGTGGTGGTGGTGGTATTCACGATTCCGGGGATGGCTCAATGTATTATTTGTTTTATACTGTGGTATTGATATTAAAAATCTGTAACTAACATGATGGTTTATTTTATAGATTATTTTTCGTGATACGCAAAGAATCATCCAGAGGTTTAAGTAGGAACAAAAAAATAAGATAATTTTTTAAAATTTTGTTTAAAAAAATTTTAAATAATGCTCATGTTTTTGTCTGATAGAATTGGTTCGACGTCGATTCTATAGTTATTTATGATTTCAGAAGAATCCTTTAAATAAAGATATTTGCTAAAGGATATTTTTTAATATAACTCTTTGGACGTGAATGACATTTTATAAAGAATTTGAAAATACAAATATTAAATCGGCTTTTGTACGTATTACTGATCAGTCTGAAATTATCTACAATTTGTACTCCCCAGACTCATAATTTAATTTAAAAAATTATAAGAGTGTTATCTTTATCTGCAAAAAAGACAAAAATAAAAACTGGTACCTCAAAACATAGGCTATAGTAATTTATCTATTGTAATAATATTTGTTGATTTTATATAAAAATACAGCTCATTAAAAAAAAAAATATATATTACCAAGAAGTAATTGATTTGATTATACTCGGTACTTATCAAACTGTTACATTTATTATAACAACTAAGATAACATAAAAATTTTAATAAGCTCATCAAACAATTCGTGGAAAGTATGTTATCATACAGCGTTTCGGCTCTTTCCAACCATTGATTTATGGTCTTGTATTTTTTCTTTTTCTGATTGAAATTAAAGGGCTTTAAAATAAGTTGGTAACCTTCGAGCGCCCGGTGGCTCGGTTAGCTAGGTCGTGGATTGGCACGCGGGAGACCGTGGTTCGACTCCCGGCCAGTGCGATTTTCGAGCAAGTACCTCTATGATTCATCACATGTGAGCTTTTTCACTATGCAATGCTTCTCAAGGAGGGTTTAGGCAACCTTCTCGCAGCAAAATTGCCTAATTTCTCCTTACCCCCCTCCAAGTAATGAAAGGCCTCCCATCCCTTTCTTTGTTTCTTTCCCAAATGCTAAGTGCACATAGTAGTGCCCTTAGTAAAGAAGCCAGACGTAGAGCACTATAATATAAAAAAAAAAAAAAAAAAGATGGTAGCCAGTAAAGCTTTTGATTACTGGATTGTGTGTTCACTTTCTGAAGGAGTCAAGAAGTATTGTAGAGGTGAATAACATTTTTTCAACAAATTGACAGTAATTTTCACAAAAAAAAAAAAAAAAAAAACAAATACATGTATACTTTTGAATTTGATGTTTACATCAGGTAAATAAAAATACAACAACTTCGATAAAGCTCAAAAATATAACTGAAATTACACGCCTTAAATTTAATTTTCAATTTTTTTCAATTGAAAGAAAATTTTCTTTAATACTTTGATTTCCTCATTATTATTTTTTAAGTTTCACTAAAACAAAGTCTTACACAATAGAAAGGAGTATTAAGAGAGACAGTGTATCAACTCGTTGATTACTTAATTGTACAATATAAATAAAAAACTCTAAACATAATCGTAAAGCTTTAGTTAAACTATTGAACTTTTGTACAAATACGTGTTAACTGAAAAGAAAAGATATGACTCGCTTCTGATATTCTTATCATAGAAATCAGAAGTATCAGTTCAATACAAAGTTAGATAATGTAAAAATCTGAAAGTTATGTTATCAGTCGGGTGCAGATTTAAATTGTGTTACAGTGTTTTTAAACTATTAAATTATTTTAAAAACTTTAAGTATTTCTGATAGTTGAATAATACAGTTGTTTGTGTACATGCAACTCTGTACACAATCACATTCGTACCACACAAAACGTTTAATAATAATCATTGTAATCGTTACGGAGAATATTTTTTTCAACTTTAATCAGTGTGTATCGTGCATCATGTACATGTGTTTTACTACTTATTTTAAGCTTGTGGTAAATATAAAATTTTAATTTATGTTGTTTTTCGTCGCCCGAGAAAAGGCCTTGTGTTTGTTCAAACATGGCAACGTTACTGTTAAATATTAAAATGCATATACACCCACGAATCACTTGTGATTTCTACTTTCCGATATGACTCCTAAAAAGGGCGCTTGATCAATAAAATGATAAATTAATCAACGGGGCAATGCCTGATTCGAAAGGCAGATTATAGAAAACCCAAGGGTGAAACAAAAACACCTGCAGGACACGTACCGATAGTTGTAAATATATTATGAGCAGAGCTGCGTAGCAGGAGGTGGTAAAAGTGAATTGTCATTCTCTTGAAACGCATCAGTACTAACATATCATATTTAAGGGGATCGAGTATTTTTCCTCGGCTCAGCAGCTTAGCTACTTTGCCGTATGACAGAAAATCGAGATGAGTTATCAAAGAGTTTGGATATAGGAAGTAAAAAGCTCCAGAAAACATCAGAAGAGGCGAATATAATCATATACGTCCTTAACCACAGGACAAGAGGGTGAATATGTTGGAGGAAAGTTTTGCATATTAATATGTATAATAAAGCTTTATTTTTGCATTTGGTACTACTTTTTAGAACCGACTTCTAATGGCACTTTTTTTCAAGTTGTAAGGTTGTAGCTTTAAAAACGTATGCAATAATTAAAATCACATTTTCAGATTTGTAAATACATGTAAATTGACCAATAATAACAGACAGGTAAAATGGTACATGGTATGTATTAAAGTAAATCGTATCATAAAGTCATGAAAAATAAAGGGTCGAATTATTTTGTAACACTTTTCTGTCCTTCAGCAACAACTATTTCTCGTGTTCATAGACGTATTATGGACAGATTAACATTACTGTATGAAATTCAATATTATAGAGCCTTGGGTTTTTGATTTGAATGTAGCTAGTATAGTCTTGGTTTACTTCAAAGCATAAATCTGTACGTGATTATCGAATTTTTCTCAACGTATATACATACCATTCATCATACTAGGCAGTACGGAGTTTAACCTAGAAGCACCAACTTTTTCATAAATATCTCATTTTATCAATCACCAAAAAGTTACATGTGTGACGAATTTTTAAAAAGTACATCTTTATATACACAATGTACAAAAAATACTGTAAAACTTATGATATGTAATAAAAGAGGCTGTAACTTTAAAAACATTTGAAAAAAATTTTCGACACGTATTTATTATTTATTTATTCAAGATAGTTGAAGACGTTTTTAATCTTCTTTTAAACAATAGATA